GGCAGCAGCGTCAACAACAGCTATGGAAACAATGATATGCCCCCTCCCCTCCCACACACTCGCAATATAAAAAAGGTGGCCAAAATCTGCAAATTTACAATCAAATAATGAAGAGATTTATATACCCTGCGTGCAAGTATTTGATGGCAAAGAAGATGACGATAACAGATAAGTTATCAGAGCTTACAGCTCCGTGAGGCCAGCTCATAACAAAAAAGCTATAAAGAAAAGTGTTGTAAAAGTTGTTATATATATATATATATATATATATAAATATATATATTTGTATCACCTTGTTAAAGCAGTGCTGTATAACGTTTATTTATATAAAAGGTAACGTTTTAAAAAAGAGTATTGTAAAGCGTACACTAATACAATTTGTTTATGTAACAATTGATATAAAACAGTGTTGTAAGTCCTCTAATAATAAAGGAGTTGCTATATATTGCTCAATCTATCAATGTATAAAAACAGTGTTGTAAAACCTGTACTAATAAAAAAGTTGTTATATATAATAAAGTTATTATAAATTCATTTGGATAACCTAGTTAAAGTAGTGTTGCAAAATGTTTATTGATATCAAAAAACACACAAGTTAGTGTTGTGAAACGCTTACTAATACAAAAATTCGCTATTTAAATATATGTAACAATCTATAAGTAAAACAGTGTTGTAAAACCTCTAATAATGTACAGTTCAAAATATCTATATATAATAAAGGCAGTGTTGGGGAACGTTTACTAATATAAATTTGGTTATTTAAATATATTTACCCATTTAAAAACATAGAAATGTTATAAAGCCTATACTTTCATATAGTCCAATGTATAAACTGTTAAGAATTAGTGTTGTAAGATGATTCAGCTTTCATATACGTACTTACCGTTCATTTATTCACTCATATTCGAATGACACAGTTCGAGCAGTTCTTCGATAATAACTCTAATATGTACTTAAAGCTAATTTTATGCACTTTTCGTATACCCTCACCTAATTGAAAATTGTAAGCCAGGCACACAGGTACGGGCACAGGTGTTTGCCCAAAATTTCTCATGCTCGTTTAGTTGCATGTGCCACGCCCACAAGCCTTTGCCATAACCGCAGGTTAGCGCAGTCGATTGCTGTAATTCAAATGAAAATCGCGCAATTGAATTGCATTTCCCAAAAAAAAAAAAAAAAGGAAAAAAGAAAAAGAGAAATGTGCCAAAACTTTGATGAGCCTTCACTTTTGGCACTCACTGAGTGTGTGTTTGTGTGTGTGCTTCCGTTTGTTTGCGATTAGTTTACACGTTGTGGTATTGGTGTCTAGTTTCTCTTATTTTCTAGTCCAGTTTTTTAGTATTTGTTGTTTTTTGGCTCAGCTATTTGAAGTGCAGTTGGCAAAACAAATCGCTCGTAGCTCTGCCCCGAGTTTAATGAAGTTTAACAACATTTAATGGCGCATTCTTTTTACACGCTTTCACAAAAGTTTCTGCGTGCTTATTTTATTAGAGCGTAAAATCGCATTTTATTTTCGGCAAATAGTTGAGCACAACAATCAAACGTTGTTCAATGGAGGACGCGCCTTTTCCATTTGATTAGTGTTTAAAAACTTTTTAGCTAAGAGGAATTTTGGAATAATATTATGTGAAATCAGCGAAACAAATGGCTTATTATTTAATATAATTCAGTTTACTTTTAAAGTATTTTAAATATATATTCTACTTAGTTTTTACGACTAACTTAAATTTCTTTAATGTAAATTTCGTTTAAATTAATATAAAAGTAAATATGAAAATAATTAAATTTTAAGTATAATTTTAATGCCAAAATTATTTCTTTATTTTTTTTTTTTAATATTTTTGTCTATAATAGATTATATAAATTTATTTTAGCATTGAAATTATATTTGAAATTTATAGCTTTATATTTACAGCTACAGAATTCAGTTCAGATAAAAAATATTTATATGAATTTCTATATTAAATATACATTTTATATGTATATATATTTATTTATATTTCCATATATTTCTTTATGTATATATGTGTATATAAACTTAACATTTCTACATCCATGGAAAAATTTGCATCACTTTTCAACTTTTTTAAACTCTTTTCAACATAAATAAAATCGCCTGGCACCTAATTTGTAATGCAGAAATTAAAAATTAAAAAAAAAATAGATAAATAAAAAATGAAATTAAATTATATTTTTATTTATGAAAACGAAAACTTTTCCTCTGCACCATGTTAATGACTCATTACACATGCAACACAAAACGGGGCAAATGTGGCGGCAACAACAACAAATGGCGAAAACGAATACGAAAATGGCAAACAAAGTTGTTCACAAATTTGTTACCAACATGAAACGTGGCTTAAATGCGGCAAACGTTAACTTGAATTATGCTATAAAAAGTAATGCAATAATTGTGGCAAATTGTGGAAAACTGCAAATGGCTCACACACACACACACATCGTGTTGGCCAAACTTTTCTTCTGTTTCTTTTTTTGGCCAAGTGCAGAGCCAACAGTTTGTAATTGTTTATTTACTAAATGCATATTGCACTTTTTTTTATATTTTCTGTAGCTTATACAAAATATTAATTTAATTTATTTTGCCGTTACTTTAGAGTTAAGGCTTTTTAATAAATATTTAAAGGGAACTTTAGAAGCAAAGACTTAGTATATTCCAATATTTTAAGGGATTCCTCTTTTTTAAATTTATATTAAAATTTCAATACCTCAAATATACCTTTCAAAAATCATTATTGTAAAGTGAAGCTATCTAAAAAAAATGAAGTACAAGGAGCTTTAGGTTTCAGATTGCTGCCAATAAGTTTTAACTCGTCATCAAATTGTGTTGGTTTTATGATCATTAATCGTTAATAAATCAATTTATATATTTTTTATATATTAATAGAAAATATATTTATATATTTTTCAAAATGATTGAATTATTTTTATTATTTTTGTATTATTTTATATTATTTTTTCTGCAGTTTATAAATATTTTTAAATTAAGCAAACCTAAAGAAAGTTATTCTCTTTAGATAGCTTAAAATATTATTATTTTTTTAATTTAACATATTTTTAATATTTATCACATGATTATAAATCATTTTATATTTTTATATAGATATTTTATAATATTTATACAGTTTTTAATTAACTTTTTATTTTTTTTATATTTTTTTATATATTTTTATTTTATTTTTATTTTTATTTTTATTTATATTTTTTTGCTTCTCGGATATTTTTTATGAACTTTTAAAAATTAAAGAAATTCAGAGAAAGTTACGCTCGAGCTAAGATGGCCTAAAGTTGTATAAATAACATATATTTAACTTATCACCTATTTTTAAATGTAGTAAATTTAACATAGAAAATTACATAAATAAATATTTATATTTGGTTTATATATATTAAAAAAAAAACATATTCAAATTAATCACCAATTTGTGCATACCATAAAAAAATTAAACAAATTTTGAATAATTTACATTAAAACTCTTTTATAAATTTTATTTAATATTAAAAAAACTAAGAACGTTCAGAAAACTGAATTGCACAATGTTTGCAGAGTTATTAAATAATGTAGTTAAATGATAAACGAATTGCACGATATATATATATATATAAATATATATATATATATAACTGTTAATGCTAATAACGATATTGAAAACTGGGATCCGAACCATAGACAATGCAAGCACATGGATAACCTGTAAAAGGCGTTCAGTAAAAAACACCCAAAATACATAAAAATAAAAAGGAAAACCAATGTAAAGAAACTGAAACATATACAACAATAACAATAACAAGAACAATAATGGTAACAATTATCAAAAACATTTAATAATAAAAAGGATTTATTATAAATGACACCAGAATAAATGCAATTTACAGTTTAATTTCATAAAAGACAAACTCAAGTCAAAATACAGAATGAAAAAATAAGCGAAAATCGGATTTGCTAAATTTTAAAGTATAATTTAAGTTTTAATAAAATCGAAATGGCTTAGTAAGTGTCTATATATATATATGCATATATCAGAAATCATACAAAATTGCCAAAGGGGGAAAAACGTGTCCAAACTACCTGTCCCATGCTGTTTATGTGAACTGTGTTTTCAGTTGTTTCATAAAAAAGAAATATATATATATATACTTAGAGTTTACTAGGAAAATCAAATTGGAAATATATCAACTAGGTTTAAATGGGTTAAGCTATTACATATATGTATAAAGAATGCCAAAAACTACCAAAATATTACCTTGACTTAGGGACTAACATCTGAAAAGAGAGAAATTGTTTTGTAATTTCTTTTTTCATTTCTCTTTTGATAGAAAAGCACTTGTCTAAAAGCAAAGCAAAATTTTTGGTATTTTTGGTTTTTTGTTTGGTATTTAGCCAGGTTAACAAGTGACTTGGTATTAATTGGCCACCTGCATTAATCAAATTCATTAGAGCAACATAAGCAGTCATGCCTAGTATATACACAAATACATGTTAACATATACATATATATTTTATGTTGTTTTTGTTTTTTTTTTTTTAGTAATCGTAGCGCTCACATGCCAACACCCAATGTACAAAATTGCAACACTTGAACTTGCCTCGCGGTTTGCACTGCAAGTGCTCCTTGATGTACTGGCAAGGGCATTGGAATTGGCCGCAATGCCGGCCGGGCTCCAGCGGCGTCACATCGACCAGGCCGCGCAGCGCCTCCATGCCCCAGCGCGAGCCGTAGCGCAAAAACAGCTGCAGGCCGCGCTCCTAAGTAAATAGATTGTTTAGATATAGAAAGTCAGATACAAGCTGCAAATGAGTTGAGGAAAGTTAGGGTTTTAGATGCGAAGAGGGCAGAGTGCAGAGTGCGGGTTAGACAGTGCGTATGAGTAATAAGTGTGAAGAGACATGGACAAGTTGTGCTGCATACTTTTTGGCTGAAACATAAATTGAAAGCACCTAAAATATTAGTACATATAGAAGACTCTCCTTTAAAATAAAGTCAAAATATTGGAGCTTCGTTTTCAACAGCTTTTTTTAATCGTACAATCAAACGGAAAGTAAAAGAATAATACACAAACAGCAGTGGACGTGGTTGTTATCGTTATCGTTATTGTTATCGTTACAGCCAGCAGCCCATGCAGTTGACGCCGCAGCACTGACGATGCTGCAGACTGATCTTGATCTTGTTACGCAGCAGCTCCTCCTCGTATTGGCAGGGGCAAATCGATGACTGCAGATGTCGTGGTGTCTCATGGACGCCCGCCTCCTGCACGGTCCAATCGAGGCGGCGGCGCAGAAAGTCCTTGCCCCAGCGCTGCAGATAGCTGAGAAACAGCTCCTGGGCAAAGGCCTAAAGAGAGTTGTGAGCATTTGTTCAGCGTGTGTGTGTGTGTGAGTGTGTGCACGTGAGAGACAAAAAAGAGAATGCGTGAGCATGATGCATGATCAATGTACAGAGAGAGAGAGAGAAAGATGGTGTGAAGCAGATGCGAGTAAAAGAGAAGCAAGAGAAGAATCAGTCTCAACTGCGACTACAACATGAAAGCGTGCATAGCACTGAGCACAGCCTGTTCACAGGTGCTCTACTGGGCTGCCCGACTCACCTGCTTGCGGGAGAGGCGCATCGGCTGAGTGCCCTGTATGACAATATCATTGACATCGATATCCAGCTTGGCCTCCCAGCCCGCCTTGATGGCCTCGCCGCCATTCTGTTCGGTGTGCTCGAGGAATTCGTTCAAAAAGCTGACACACTGCGTCGCATCGAAGTACATGAAGCACAGGTTGACCTTGTGACAGGAGATGCGACCCCGATCGTCCAGCACCAGCAGTATCTTGTGCCGCATCAATTGCTTATTCACGCGCGCCAAACACTTCTCCAGGCCGCGCGACAGGCGCAGCTTCACCCACATGCACAGAAATATGGCAGCCGCATTGAGGAATAGCCAGCCGACGCCCAAGGCAAACAGTGCCACGCCCTGCAGCCCAGAGAAGAGCAGCGCCAGCAGCACAGCGAACGCAAACAGTATCCAGCAGACGAGTATGCGCTTATAGCAAATGTTGTACACTGTAAAGCGATAGTCGTTGACCAGCGTCTCCATTGCATTCACATAGTCCTCCACAGTCAGCTGGAAAGAGTGATGCGAGTTAGAGCAACGGCAACGGCAACGGCAACGGCGACGGCTGATTGATTGACTGCTCGCTTACCGTCAAGCCCTGCGCCATCAGCTCCTCGGGCACCAGCTCCGGTCGAAATATGGCCGGCGTTATCCATGGCCATTTCGTGTTGGCCGGCAGCAGAGTGACAATCACATCGCCATTAGCTGTGTGGATGGAAAAGGGAAGAATACGGCATTAGCAGGTGTCACGCTCACCTCTCTCTCTCTCAGTCTCCCTCAAGATAATTCAATTCAATTTCGACAATTGGCAATCATAAAGAGGAAATCTTTCTCTAACTAAAGATATTGTATCTTTAAAGCATAATTACTTAAATACAGTTATCTGCATACGATCATTGTCATTATCATTGGTAGCTCGCAGCTCCCTTGGGCTTTACTTACCGAAACCCTCACGTATGCGACCCGTTGACAACTCAATTGTGCGCATTCCGGAGGCTTGATCCACTGGAATGGAGATGCTTTTGCTGTTGGCATTAGCGCCGTTGCTGCTGCTGCTGTTGTTGTTGTTGTTGTTGTTGTTGCTGTTGGCACCACTGCCATTTGGATGAGTAGCGGTCACCGATGCTGCAGCTGCTGCTGCTGCTGCTGCAGTTGATGATGAAGCCAAAGTTGTTGCGGCTGCAGTAGCTTTTTGGTTTATTAGCTGCAGTGGGTGGCGGGGCGGAGTGCTGCCACTGCCGGATGCATTGAGATTAACGTGGGTGCTCTCAGTTGTCAGAACAGCCGGCGTCACATCCGGCAATGGCGTCGAGCCAGCTGTCGTTGAGGAAACTGCAGAGCGCTGTAAAATGTGACAACAATGGGTTAATGTTCTTGGCCTTAAGACAAAGCGAATGCTAAAGCTAAAGAAAAGGGAAGAAGAGGGCGACATAGGGCGAGGCAGAGCGAGGGGAAGGGAGAATTATGCAAATATGCAAGAGAAAATCAATTTTATTGATTTGCAGCGGGCATTATAAAAACAGAAACAAACAGAAGCAAAAGATTGAGCAACAGCCAAAGCTAAAGCTAAAAAAAAAAATGAAAATTGTCATTTTGCACGTACGCAGCTCAGCGGATATGGAGAGCTGCGTACTGGGCTCTAAAAGGCAACTCGTCGCAGGGGGCCAGAGGCAAACGAAATATAAAACACGCTTAAATAGACGCGCAATAGTCGAGCTTTGCTATAATTGATCTGTAGCGTGCTATAAAATGCTGCCATAATTATCTAACTTCAAGTTCGTTAGGCTAAAACTAATGCACAATTTCTGAAGGTCAAGGAATATGTATATAAATTTGATATATATATTATATCGTTCATACTTATTTACTGAAAAACTAAACAATTTCCTCTTATAGCTCAAATATTTAATTTATATTGTAAATATATACTATATATACTCTATATGTTCTATGTATTTCGTTCTGCAGCTAATCCGATAAGTGAATGTAAACAAAAAATCGTGTTCGATTTCAGTTGCACGACTACGATATGCCCTGTAAAATGTTGAACTATGTTAAGTTTGATGATTTATATATAAATGCTTAAATTTGTCAAAACTTTAATTTATTAATTAAATTATTTTGATAGAATTTTAAATAAATTTTTTTAAATTATATTTCAAAAATTAATTAAATTGAATATCAAATAAATAAGATTATTTAATTTATATTTTAATATAATACATATATAATATATATAAAATAATTTAAATAAATAACTTTAATTTATTTTGAATGTTGTTTACTCAAAATTATTTTCTTAGTTATTTATTTAATTTAATATAATTTTAATAAATAAAATTTTATTTGTCTACATATTTAAAATTATAATTTAGAACTATTTAATATAATAATTCTATATTAATATTAATTATTATACAAGCGACTGATCTATATATAATTATATTTTTATATATATAAATATATATATATATATATATATAAATATATATATATATATATATTTAAATATATATATATATGCTTATATATACTGCTACAAGTTTTCTTATTGCCTAGATACATTGCACTTCAATGCGAATTTTAAATGCTAATAAACTGTGTCAAAATAGCATACCCCATATTATAGCCTGCTTACTTACTCTATATATATAAACATTTCAAAATTTAAGCAAATAGATTGTAATCTAATCGAAAAACAGTTTTCTCTTTGACATTTATTTATGATCCATTTCAAGTACTTCTAAAAAAGCATCCAAAGCTCTTTTTTCCCCCGTATTTATATTGTCTCTGTTGACAGCCCGTGTCTGGGTGGATTTGTAATTTAACTTATCCAAAAACCCGGAGACAAGCGAAAAAAGCAATATAAATAAAAAAGCAACAAATAAATATTGACTCTTTTAAAATAATAATAGCTGGCGGAATATTTAAACAAATGCAGAAATTCTGTTTACATTACTTTTTTTATCTCACTCAGAGCTGATATGACAGAAAAAATAATGAAGAAGCGGAGCAAACAGATACTGAACTTGCAAAAGGCAATAAGCGAGAAAGGTAATCGAGGTAAAGTACAGGTATGTGCAACAACAAATAAACATATTTCTACACCTGCCGACAGGCGTATTTCCATGACTGAATTGTTTATATAGCTATTTGCACATGATTTTTATATTTATTAAGCATAGTCAGGTGCCTGGTCGATATATATATATATATATATGAACAGTATATATATATATATATATATTTTGTTTTGTTCAAAGCAACGTTTTTACATTTTAAATAACAATTAAAGCAAAGCAATTTTATATTTCAAATTTTTTTCAGTTATTTTTATAAATAATCTTCATTAAGATCAACAAGTGTCATTGCAGCATATTCTATTGGTATATCTAATATATTTTTCAGCACTCGAATAATAATTAAATTATTAGAGCTGATAAAACTTAACAACTGCAATGCATATATATATATATATATATATATATATATATATATATATATATATATATATATATAAATATATATATATAGAGAGAGAGATAGAGATTTACATACAAAAAATACAGTTAGTAAAGCGCACACAAACAAAAAGTACTGACTGTACACATTAATGCACTGACTCCATTCATGCGTACACCTCAACTTAATGAGCAAGCCCGTTGCATTTGAGAGTATGACGTGTCGCCTGACGATGAGTAATCAATGCTTGTTGCACGCAGATAGGTCTTGCTGCCCACTGTTGCAGGCAGAAACCCTAACCTTACTTCATTTGTTAAGCGCTTGCAACGTGACAGAAAAGAATAATCAATGAAAACGCCAGACAAAGAAGCGGCTGTAATATACCGCTGCTAACAACTCCATTAGGCTGACGAAAACGTAAAGAAACGCAGCGATAAGGCGGTGACAGGGCCCGACGCGTAGAAAACGAAGTGGTGGTTGCAAAGCGCAGAGGGAAAGAGAGTAAAGAAATATACGCAGACTGTGCGATACATTGGAATGCATTGCGTTGCGTTGGGTCAGCGGTGACACGTGAGAGCAACACTCAAAAGAGAGCGGCGCAGAGAGCGGAAAAGACAGAGAGAGAGATCAAAAGAGAGACTAACCTGCACAGGCGCTGAACTTGCTGTAGCAGTGGCCAGCTCATTGGGACTGCGCGAGCGCGCACGTCGCTTGTTGTTGCTGCTGACCACAGACGGCGGCGGTGGCGGCAGAGCTAACTTGTTTTGTTGCTGCTGTTGTTGTTGTGTGGCACTGGCATCGCCAGTGTTACTGTTACTGTTACTGTTACTGTTATTATTTTTTTCACTGCTGTCTGCCTCGTCGTCGAATTTAACCCAATTTTTGGTCGTCAGTTGTACGTCATCAGCTGCAGCCATATCGCCGCTGCTATCATTCAGCGGCACATCCTGCAGCGGGTGCGCTTGCATCGCAGTCGCTGTCGCAGTCGACGCTTGCGCCTGCGCCTGTGCATTGGCGTCGTGCTCCATTAGGTTTCTTTTAAGTTTTTTTACAGTTTTAAGGAATGTGCGATGTTGACGCGTGTCTGAAATTGTTGTAATTGAACGTGTTTTGCCTCGCTGAGCGAATACGCTTTGTGTTAGCGTTTTGTTAGTTCGCTTTTTGCCGCTTACATAACCTCAATAACAATTCACACTTGACTTGCCGCTGCTGTTGCTTGTGTATTTTTAACTGAGTTTTTTCTGTTTTGTATTTTAATTTTGTTTTAGGCGCAGCGCACAGCGCGTCGTTTACGTGTTGGCCGCTCACGCGTTCTCGTCACACTGCCTCGGCACACCCAAAAGCAAAAAGCCGAGCTTAGCTTGGCTCTAAGGCGTGCTCGCCGCTCAGCTAGTGCTCAGCTCAGCCAAAGCCCTTTTACCGTTTTGCTTTAAGTGTTCCGTTCTCACACGTTTCAAGCGCTGTATAGCACTCGTGCCGCCTCTGGCTTTGACTGCAAATGTTCAACTGAGCAACCGACGGCTTTAGCTTTGCGTTGCGCTCACCTGTTGGCAGCAGCAGCAGCGGCAGTGACGGCTAGAGCTTTGTCTACTCTCCCACACTCTCACTCTCTGCGCTCTCTCGCCAGCTCATTCATTAATGTTTTTGTTTTCCGTTTCTGTTGTTGCTTTTTTCTCACATGACAAGTTTTTGCTTTTTAAAGTTGTTTTTATTTTCCTTTTTTGTTTCGTCTTTTCGTATGCCCAAACAAGTTGCGGCCCTGCTTCGCGCTCGCTTCCCTCCCTCTCCCACTCTCTCCGCACTGCGGCACCGCTGCAATCTTTATGTCTCTCTGACTCACAATTTGTAGTTATTTGCCCCCTTCTTCATCATCTTCTCCTCCCGCTCTTCATAATCATTTTTATCTTTTTATTCATTTGTTTGCTCGCTTCGAAGATCTGTGAAGTAGAAAATTTCGCAAAATGAGCAGCTTGTTAAGCGTGAGTATTTGTACACATGCTGAATCAAGTGTGTGTGCAAGTGCGGGTGTCTCACTCTATGTATGTGTGTGTGTTTGTCCCACGATTAGCTTCGCCACGCCGCTTCAATTTCAATTTGAACAACAATAACAATAAGAACAACACCAACAACTGTAGTAAACAATGCATGTCGCATGGCTTATCAACAACAAGGGTCTACAGAGGTGGAGGTTTGGGGCAATTTGTGCTCAACACACCTCAACTGCCTATCGGTTATCGGTCTTTTTTGTACTAACAAATGAAAGCTCTACAAACACCAATAAATGTATATAAACTCAGGTATACAAACACTCATAGAAAGCTAAAATATCATTGCCACTTAAGCAATGCCTTAACGATAAATAATTAAAGCTGTGGAAATTAACAGTTATTTGCCTTGCAGCATGTTGCAAAAAACTCTTTTGATTGTTTGCTTATAGCCAAATGACTGTCAATTCTGCTGAGATCTGATTACATTTGTCTTGCGGTCCTTTATAACACTTTAAGGTACTTCAGTGCCTTTAAGATAGTTCAGTATAGTTATTATCATTAGTATCCTTAATTTATTTAAAATAATTCGGTGTCTTTAAAATCTTTAAGGTATTTTAGCTTCTTTAAGGTACTTAAATGCTTATTTAATATATTTATACTTTAGTATATTTATTATCTTCAAGATACTTTAGTACCTCTAATGTCATCAATTTTTGTAAGATACATAAGTATCTTTTAGATACAAAAGTATCTTTTAGATACAAAAGTATCTTTTAGATACAAAAGTATCTTTTAGATACAAAAGTATCTTTTAAATACAAAAGTATCTTTTAGATACAAAAGTATCTTTAAGATACAAAAGTATCTTTTAGGTACAAAAGTATCTTTAATTTACATACGGTTGTTTCAGATACTTCAGGATATTTAAAATACTACTTTTTTTAAATACTTCAGTCTATTTAAAGATACATCACTATCTCTAATATATTTCAGTATCTCTAGTAGTACTGCAGTAAATATATAGAGTCTTTTAGATACTTTAATATATTTTTCTCTTGCATTTAAAGATAAATAGGCATATTTACTTTATACATTTTTATACATGAGTAATATTTCCATCAAATATTTATTGCAACCAAATTAAAGTGAGCATCTCTAAAGAAATTCAGCCGAAATTCGGTTTTCCTTGTGAGTTGTGGCAACTGCAATTTAAAATCAATTTGACGTCTGTTGCGCCGTCCGCTTGGGCGAGGGTCCGGTTTCGGTATGTCCCTTCGATAAGCGTTGCAACATTTAATAACAAATTTATGACGCTGCGGTGCATAGTTTTTCGGCCAGGGACGACATTATAGTGGCAATTGGGCAGCAGGCCCACAACAACTTTTTGGCCAGCTATAAATTATGCCACAAAATTATTATATAAATGGCGCGGAGAGTGTTGAACGGCTGCAGAGAAGGAATTTGGCCCAGTGCCAACGGGCCCAAGCCGAACGAAGCATTGGCCAAAAAGTTGTTAAGCAAATTATGGGCCCGGGCACACCAACACACAGACGCACACACACACATACAGAAAAAGATATCTGAAACTCTTACGTTATGCTTCGAGATGTCGGACTTGGCCCAAGCCACATTTGCAGCGCAGTTGAATGCAGTTGGCCAAAAAATTATCATTGGCCATTGAAAGCTGCTGAAATGGGCTTTTGCTTCGACTGTTAATGGCAACAAAAGTGTGCAAAATGCAAAACTTTTACCATTTTTGTGTGGAGAAAATTGTTGAAACACATTTATAAAATATTTATTTGTATTTTCTTAAAAAGTTTCCAGACATTTATATAATAATTATATGACTCAAGCTTTTCATGTTCATATTCTTTATACATTTATTTAGATTTATTATTTATATATTAAGCATATATAATCGTATTCAGGATAACGAGCAATGGCGCTCTGTCGACCCATCTGTATGTCTGTTAGTCTGTCCATCTATCTGTCTGTCTCTTTATTCTATCTATCCGTTCTATTTATCTTCACATCCGTATATCTGCATATTCGTCTGCTCGTCTATGTAAACCTCTCTATGATTCCAACTATTTCATAAACTATAAATGCTGAAGCCTTCAAATTTAAATATAAATTCTTATATACTCTGCGGAGTAAATCAATCAATTTTATTGCAACAGTAAATTATTTAAAGTCAATTTCTAATAAAAAAGAAGTTTCTTTTAAAATATATAGATATATTAAAATATAGTTATAGTTTTATTTGAAGTATAAACAATAGAGTTCTAATGGCAAACGGATTTTTATTTGTCCTGCCCTTCACACTACTTTCAAGTGTCATGATTCTTCACAAAATATGTGTGTTTTATTTATATAAAATATTTAAATATTATAAATTGTATTTAAATATATAAATAAATCTAGCTCGAATTCAAATGCTAAATTTAACTAATATTTTGCTTTGTTAATCTCGCTGGCTTTGTGGTCTACCCTTAACATCAGCTTCTACTCATAAATTACCAAATCGTAAGTAGAGCTGTCTTTTATGGAGCTGGCCAAAATTCTGATTTTGGGCAGCCCTAATAAACTTGGTAAGCCATAAATCGCTCAACATGCAAAAATCCATTGTTCGTGGCGAGTTTTTAAACTTGGCTAACGGCGCTTTGACAAGCCACAAAAATTGCACTCTCAGCCAGAAAGCAACGGCAAGCAGTCAGCCAAGAGTCTAATTAGGCCAAATTAATTGCCTGCGCTTTTGACACTTGCAAAGACCAAGCGACCGCCATCCCCTTCCCCTGGCCCGGCCCAGCAGAGTCCGCCCAAAGTCAACAAAACAACCAAACCAAGTACAACACTCAAAAGTCTATTTGCAGGCAGCGCTTCCCTTCTGGCCGCCTTGCTGCCCATTTTTGGCAAGAGTAATGTTGGCAATTTGTTGGCCGCCTTCGTCGTCGTCTTATTAACCCGCAACAGGAATCGGAGACATGCCGCAGCCGACTTGGCAAAAAGTTGCCGCAACTTTTTGGCCGACTCGAGAATGTCCAACGGGCATATAAATTAGCCAGGCTGCTAGCAAAAGACACTGCCGAGCAGCTGCTCTCCTTATTACACTGTGTCTCCTCAGTGTTCCTCAGCTTCATCTTGTCTCTGTCTCTATGTCTGTTCGCCTGTCTCTCTCTCTCTTTCTCTCAGTCTTTCGTGCAAGTGCCAAAGTTTTGGCATCAAAAAATGTTTTCAAATTAAGCTAATTTATATTATATAAACACACTAAAGACGCTTAATGAGGCTGTGGGTCCATTGAGGCTGTGGGCGTGGCCACATAAGTTGTTAACAACATTCACATATATAATTATATACCTAAAATACCCTGTAATTTATGCAAAATAAGACTATTATGGGAGGTTGAGTTTGAAATGTCTTTAAAGTCAGTAGCCATAGTAGATTGAGTTAAATATCAACAATTTATAAACAGAGTTGAAAGTTATCGGGTATCGATATCATATGCTGCAATCGATAGTAATAATAAATTAGTATTATATAGATATATAGATTTTTTCATGGTTGTCAAAGTTAACGATTTCAGTTCTTGTCATTATAAATTTTTTTGTATTATCAATTTATCGATAACATGTAAAATACGATATTTGTTATATAGCTTATACTTATTAAGGATTTTTATTCATATAGACAGAGATCGCTTATGAAAATGATTATCATATAAGTGATATATATGCTTACGATAGTTATATAACGATAAAATAACGATAAATTATTACAAGAGCTTGAAATCGATAGGCAGTAAAATGACAAAAACTACAACTTTTCTTATATAAAGAGGAAAGGAACTACGGAAAGTAAATTTAAATAAAAAATAATTTATCAGAATATGTATTGTCCAAAAATATATATTATAAATTATATATAATATATATACGAACTACCGATACATGAAGTTACATATTATAGCATAGTAAAAATATTTTAAAATCATATAAAACGGTTATTATTGAACTCCATTTCAGAATACATACATTTAATATTGTTTCAACTATTTTAATAAACTATAAAATTTGACAATACCAAAAGGTATTCAAGCTCTTTATATAATCTCATACACCCATTCGTGTTGGCATCAGCCAGTGTTGAGTAATGCTTTTTTTGGGTTTAGCAATCTGCTTTGATTTGCGTAGAAGATGCCATAAGCTGGATGTAAGTTCACCTTTAAGCCCTTTGAAAATGAACAAAGTTATGCAGCAGCAACAGCAACAGCAGCAACAACAACAACTTGTTGTTGCGTTTTTTTTTTGTTTTCAGCTTCACAGTTCGCTGGCGAAATTAACGTGACTTGCATGTCGCCCCGAAAGTATGCAACGCGGCTCTAAAGTGTCGCCATCAGCATCGGCTAGGCACCCTTTACCGCCTTGCCCCCATCCACGTGCATAACTTTTTGTGCCTTTGGTCCAAAAAACAACAACAACAACAACAGGAAGAAAACTGCAACTGTGGAAACGTGTCACAAACTTTATGCGCCCGCCACGCGTCACGCACGCGATTTTCGCTTAGTTGTTTGTCACTTTGCTAGCGCGAGGGAGGGCGCGTAACGACACTGGATGGGATCGGCACAGCATAGGGATATTTGCCAGAGCACTGC